GGTGTTGGTTGTTTGTGGTTATATGGTTGACCTGCTTTGTACTACATGATGTGTTACGCTACATCATATTTACAATGGTTGTATTCCCAACAACAACAACAACTTTCTTCCCGGACCAAACCAAATTTACCCTACACATCACCACCCTGACCATTGTAAATGACCTTAATTCCTGAGTCTTATTGGTTGTGACCCTATTAACTGTATATTTGACCATAATAAAAAAAAATAATAATAAATTACTGACCCCAATATGGGCTGTGAATCAATATTTTAACCAATTCAATCCCATTCCTAAACTCCTATCCTCTACCATCCCCATCCCACCCCCCCCAAAAAAATAATAATGATAATCCAACCCATGAAAATATGTCCCAACATGGCACAAATTACCTTGTCCCTATCCCCACTGCCCTACCCCGTAGTTGTATCAGCCCTTCGAGGGGAGCCTAAACCAGGTTACGGACTCAAGTCGTCCACTCTACCCGCAGCCGGACGCAATGGTGGCCCTGCTGGAATGATCGTAAGTAACTAATGTATTGATAATTTAATTAGATGTGCGCTCTTTCTTCTCTTTCTATTGCAATGATTGGAGATTCAGTCTTTATGCAAATGAGTTGTGATTTGTTGATGTTTATGAAACTTGGATAATCTCTACTTGATGTTCAGATTTGATTATATTACATTTCACTGACATGATGTTTTCCTGGTTAAAGAAGAGAAAGTACATTTGGACTCATGACCAGACAAAGTGACAGGCTCAGAGCCTTAATAACACTTTGGCACCCCAACTCATTTTGTCAGCTTATTAAGGAAAGCTTCTGATCCCTAAGCCTTTGTTTAGGTATGTTCTCGGCAATTTGAATTTTGGATATATTTTGGCAGCAGCATATTCAGTGGAACCTCACATATCGAAAGCCCTCTGGTGACTAAAAGGGTCTGAATAATGAAAAATAAATAAATAAATAAAAATAAGTATTATCAGCCCAGGAGAGCAGATGACAATTACAAGCAGACACAGACCTGCAGTTTTTGCCCTTCAACCCCCAGCCCTCCTCGGGACCATCCACATGCTCACTATTGGTCAGGTTCTTGTCAGGTTTAGTTTTTCGCCATATTATTATAGTTAGGTCTGCATTTACGCGGTCAATTGAACCAGTGGAGGCCCCCGTAAAACGAGAAACGCGTAAATGAAATAACAGAACATATGGGATTAATTGAAATAGAGACTTGGCCGATCCCCAAACTCCACTTTTTGCGACACAATACGTACGTTGTAGTAAAAATAGTATCTTAATTTTATGATGGTATGCACACACTCATAATATACAAGAGAAATATCAATAAAAGAATAATATATTGTACCAGGTAAAAGAAAAATCAAGGTTTAACACTTACGTTAGTAGAAGAGATGGTTCGGCATACGGTAATGGGGGGCTGGTTCCGAGGCAGAGGGCAGATTACTGGCCCTCAGGTGAATCACCATCACTATCCACCATAGTTGTCAGGGCCTCCCTGACAAATCCCTCAAAGTCAACATCACTGTCACTATCACTAACTTGGGCTGGCTGTGGTGGGTTGCGGGCGAAGAAGTCTGTGATGTTACGCTGACGGCTAGTGTTGATGTGTTCGTGATACATCTGGATGTACGGCTCCATAGTCTGCAGCAGCTGGTTAATGAAGACTTCATAGCGGTGATCGCCAGGGTCGTTGGAAAGGACGGGCTTGAGTTTCTCTGCAAACTCGATGGCATCCTTAACATTATCAAGTGTTAACTTGTGTTGTTCTCGGGATGAAGCACCACCTGCCTCTTCACTGACGTCATCGTCTTCTAACATATCGTCGGCAGTCACCTCAGGATCTCTGATCACCTCCATAATATCGTCGTTGGTGGTCTCGGAGAAGCCTGCAGCTGTAACTCTCTGCTCAGCTTCTCTTGCAAGGTCCACTGCCACTGCAACAGACTGAACCTCACCAGTCACAGGTTGACTCTGCCTCCCACCTGGGATACCTTGCAACACATGCCGCCATGCGTGGTGAATCGTTGCCACAGACAGCTGCCCCCGTGCCTCCACCAAGAAATCTACAGCTTTCTTTACGTTAAATTTCTTCCAAAACTGTTTGACGCGAACTTCTTGATCCGCCAACTCTTGTTCCTCGTCGTCGCTCTCGCTATCGGTGTCACCCAGGTTACGCAACTCATCCTTGGTGTTGGTACAGTCGTTCATGAGCTTAAACTTCTTTGTAGAGAATGCAGCCTTTATGTTGCATATCAACTCCTGGTCCATGGGCTGAATTAACGACGTAGTGTTGGGAGGAAAGAAGACCACTTTTACGTTGGGGTGACGGTACAACAGTAGGGCCGAGTGTCCTGGTGCATTGTCAAGGAGCAACAAAATGTTGAATGGAACATTCTGTTGCTCGCAGAATTTATTGACATCGGGAACGAAACAGTCGTCAAACCAGGAGAGGGACAGAGCAGTGAACATCCACGCCTTACGTGCGGTTAGCCTGTGGACATTTAGCTTGGTCATGTCCATGTTCTTGTAAGCGTGCGGCTTGCGGGCTGTGTGGATCACCGATAACTTGAGCTTACAGGTACCGGAGGCGTTGGTGGTGAACAAGACTGTGATGCGCTCCTGCAATTTCCTGCCCCGACACTTGCTGGCAGACTTAACAACGAAGGTCTTGGTAGGTAGCTTTTACCAAAATAGACCGGATTCATCCATGTTGAACACCTGGTCGTCGGTGTACTATCCTTCCTCCATAATGTCACGTAAGAATGGAGGAAAATCACTAGCCACAACACGGTCAGCACTCGCTCCTTCACCAACAATGTTAATGTTGGTGATCTTGTTCCTCTTTTTAAACCCTTGCAGCCACCCAGAGGAAGCAGTGAAGGGTTTAGGCTCTGCAATTCCCATCTTACGTGCCACTGCTACGTACAGTTCACGGACATAGTCCTGAACTGACCCCGTGTCCACTGCCATGTTCCGTCTTGCCTGACGAATCAAGTAGCTCACCAGCAAATTCTCAGTCTTGAGCAGCACCTTGTTCTGGCAGTACTTCACCATTGAAGCACCTGCGGACTTTGTGATGCTCATATGTTCTTTTATCTTGGCGGCATCCTTCTTGATCGTCCAGATCGTAGACTCGTTCACGCCATGCTGGCGCGCAAGATCAACTTGCCTCGTACCTTTTTCCAACTCCTGCACAATCTTAGACTTAACTTTGTAACTTAAGGCACGTCTTATCTTCTTTGGCTTGGAGTGGCTGGGTCCAGGTAATGCAAGGTTTTTCTGTGGTGGTGGGGGTCCAGCGGATGCCATTGTTACGAGATTAGCGGGCACAATAGAGCACAGTATACACGGGGTGACTGGGAACAGGGTGACTGACGCGGGTAGCACCTTCTTCTCTGTGGTGGCACGTCATATTACATTGAACCAATCACAGCTAGCGGGGGAGGGAGGTAAGGATGCGTGGCCCAATCACAGTCCTATACGTCATATGACGTCACCGATAACGCAACAGCGACATACTGCGCAACCTTACTCACACCACTTACCCAAGCATGGCGGGAGATGGCGTGAAGTTTGAATCCAAAATTGGCGCGGCCTGGCTGGACTGCCAGCTGCTCTCCGCATAAATGACCAAATTTACTGTGTAATTAAAGCATTTCAATGCTGGCCAGGCACCGCATAAACGACCAAAAGCGTAAATCAAACCCGCATAAATCCAGACTCAACTGTACTTGTAGTATCCACATCTTGTTTGTAACCCTGCCACCCTATCTTGGGCAGAAAGTTTACTCCACAGCCCGTTATGTTGTAATCGTTCATCTCGATTAATGTTTAGTTTGCTTTCTTTGTAAAAAATTGTGGAGAACCAATTACTGGACTGTACAATACTTCCTGCTTCCTGATGAGTAGCTCTGTGCTCTTCTGGTAACGACGGATCTCACGAAGGGCGACGGTTCCGGGCCTGTAACGATGGGACTTCTTGACACCACCAGTGGCTGGAATGGACTTGCGAGCTGCCTTGGTGGCAAGCTGCTTCCGTGGAGCCTTGCCTCCAGTGGACTTGCGGGCAGTCTGTTTAGTACGAGCCATCTCGACGACGAAATAGTAAATGCGGCGGCGTCATTGCTGGGCGGGCTTATATACAGACATTCTCCACACTTCCCGCGACCTCATTGGCCACGAGTGCATCCCAGTGCTACGGAAGAAGGGATTTCTGTCTATTGGGAAAACATTTTACTGTACATATTATAATACTCTACTGTGTATGCTGAGTGAGTATTGTACAGATGGTTGCACCTCTGTTATTGAATTGAGCTTCATCATATTGTTATCCATTTATTTGGTTTTGTGGTGAATGTATTCATACTGTTAAGTATTGTAATTAGGTATTGCACTGCAGTATTAATACTTTCATTGTTTTAATTTTCCTTTTTGAAGATACTGTACTGTACTGTACTGCACAGCTATTGTTACAGTTGAAAACCATATACTGTACAACATTTCAGTACTGTTGATGACAAGAAGAGTCAAGGCTTCCATTCCATTCAGATGACCTTTGGTATCTGATAAATATCCATTACTGTATCTGAAATGGTAATGCTCCCAAGACTTTTGGATGTGTCAAGTTCTGCTGTAAATGATACAAAAGTTTATTTGGATGAACACCACTTTTATTGTGAAAAAAATTGGAATATATCAGAAGCATATGAATTATTGGTGCCTTGCAAAAAAGTCAACTTTTGTCAGTCTTTTATCATTAGTGCAAAATGTAGTAAATCAGAAATGTTTGAGCTGCCTTGATTATTTATTTAGATTATTTAAGAAAATATAGTGATGCCATGTAGAGTATAAACTGGCCTAGGTAATGGTAACATTCAGGTAAATTACTCTCATTAGCATAAAGATTGTTTCTTCTAATATTGTGAGTTTCATCACTGGGAGTTTGTTTACTGACCTGTGTTGGCCTCTATGGCCCCTCAGTTGTGAGCTCCCTCAGACAACCTCCCAAGCCTGGCTACGGTTTCTCGCCGCGCAACACCTTCTACCGCCAGGGCCTAGGATCATATTCTGCGCTTCATGTAAGTCACTGCTTATACACCCTCACCTCACCACCAGCTTCTCAAATTATATATTTGATATTCTATGCTTTTTCTTAAAAAATTATATATATATATATATATATATATATATATACATACATACATTATTATATATATATATATATATATATATATATATATATATATATATATATATATATATATATATATATATATATATATATATATATATATATATATATATATATATATATATATATATATATATATATATATATATATATATTTCATTAGCCCAATAAAGCACGCGGACTTCTACATATAATCAACACCTCAACCCGCCAGGATTCGAACCCACGGCCCACAAGCCTATGATGTGACCGGGGAACGCTAACCGCTGGACTACCAGGATACTAAAAGCAGTCCTAGACTTTGTTATATTTCACACAAAGCCTGTTCAACGAGCTTATGGCGCCGTGAACCTCTAATGGGGACCACCCGTATCACTTAGGTGGTCAGAGTAACGCTTACCAACCGCTTCAAACACGAGGATCCATATATATTTCCATTAAACCCACCAGAGGTTCACGGGCGCCTAAGGGCTCGCTTTAACAGGCTTTGTGTGAAATATAACAAAGTCTAGGACTGCTTTGCATCCTGGTGGTCCAGCGGCTAGGCGCTCTGGTACAGTCATAGGCCGGTGGGCTGTGGGGTTCAATCCTGGCGTGGTTGAGGTGTTGTTATATATATATATATATATATATATATATATATATATATATATATATATATATATATATATATATATATATATATATATATATATATATATATATATATATATATATATATATATATATATATATATATATATATATATATATATATATATATATATATATATATATATATATATATATAATGTTCATCATTTTAATAAAATCAGTGTGTGATCTTTTGTAAGAAGATACCCAGTTGTCCCAGGCACATTGTAACTGCTGCAACTTCTTGTAAAGTGGTTGCTCTGAGTTACACAAAGAAATTCACAATTATTTTTCTTTTTCCTCTAATTTAAGAGTTTTTTTTTTATAACTATCACATGACTGTATTGAATCTTGGTTGATGTTCCTTATTTACTTTGCACAGTACACCTGCACTCTTCTTATACTATTGTTTGTGTTGTCTCTGTTGATTGATGGTGTCTCATTTTATTGTTTAATATTTCTTTTCAGTTATAAGGTGTTTACAGTGACCATTAAAAATTCATTTAGTAATAGACTTACCCAAACAAATCTTAATAGAAAACTGTCTCAAATTTAATGTTCAATTGAAGGTATCCTGTCGCACGTTATTATCCCTCAAATGAACAAACAGGAATCCAATGTTCTATTTGTTCATCTGAGGGATAATAAGCATTGCCTTGACTAGGATAATGCCTCCTCAATATTACCTTGTAATTCAATTGACAGTAGGAAAATTATAGAATCTAGTCTCATTAAACATACCGAAGCAGTCAACATGAATTTGAGTAATGGTACATATAAACTGGACAATTTTGTAATTAAGAAGATTTGTAACCAGGTGAGAAGGTTTGGTCAACTTACACTCTGACCTGACTACCGACCGTTGAGGTGCTTTTTAAAGATTAGTAGGGTCGTTACCTAATACCTGACCATTATGGACCTGATCTCACCCTCCTCTGTATATATATATATATACCTTGTTTTGTACTTCTCCTCAGTCTCTACTCACCCCTGAAGATGTGAATTACACGAAAGCGCTTTGGAACTTCGGGTTTTCTTCTTTCCTTGTGGTTATCAGCACACACACACACATATATATATATATATATATATATATATATATATATATATATATATATATATATATATATATATATATATATATATATATATATATACATATACATACATACATATACATACATATATATATATATATATATATATATATATATATATATATATATATATATATATATATATATATATCTATATATATATATATATATAGCGACTATTAATGTCACAAATTCAGAATTCAGAATTCAGCATTTCAGTAGTACTCTACTGTATTAGTAACTATAATATAATAGTTTATCATTTTTTATTTATTAATCATTAATGCTTGTCTTTTAAGAATTGGATTAATCATCTGATCTACAGTATATGATCCATTATGATTTATTTGCATAAGCATACAATTCAGTCTTCTACTGAAATACAGGTACTGTAATTGTATTTTCAGGTTTAAAATATAAATAGATTAATATTCATTGTTTTTATTTAACAGGGAGACTACAGTTTCACAGGTTTAGGAGAAAAGACACAGAGCACTGAATTTAGTAGTGCTCGCTCTGATGGTGAGTACAGTACTTGTGAGTCCTTACTTATGATGAAAGATAAAATGGAACAAATGGAAAATGTAATTTAGTTTTTAGCTGTTTCACATCAGTAATTAATAGTACTTGCTTACAGTGTTGCTCTAAATGTAATAAGTATCTTTTTAAACATTTTCATTTTTAAATTAGGTAATAATTTTTACAGAATATTAGTGTACCTTGTTAATCTATTGCAGAAAAGGCATAATTGTCAGGTTTTTGTATGGTTATTTTTATTTAAATCATAGAAGATATGTTATAATAAGTTTTCATAATTTTTTTTTATTAAAGTTTAATTCATTATTAACTGTATGCAGGAGAATGTACTTAATTGTAGTAATTATATTCATGCATTGTTTGTGAGCTGAGCTGTACCATTATACCTGCTAATATATTGCGTACAGTGCCTGGTTAGATACAGTACAGTGTTTTGGCAGGATTGAGGTACCTTTTTTTTTTTGCATTGCTAACTAACCAGACTGCTTCATTGCCTTGTAGTTGCATTTAACAGCATACACTAGGACCAGTTGAAATATCAGATGACAATGAAGTGATGGAATTTTTGGCTTCTTTTGAACTTTACGTTTTGGGGTAATAGATGTAGCTAATAATAATAATAATAATTCACAGATTTAGATCTTGAAGATAATGTGTGTTAGATTTGACAGGTTGTTCGCTCAATGTGCAGCTAGTAATGCATTATCATTTTTCCCTCTTAATGTGTTTTATTCTTTCTTAGAGGCTTGAAAATAGATATCTTATGTGGTTTAATTTTTCATATCCAGAATTCTTTACTCCCCAAAATTTTGTTCTTCACCTGGAATGTTTCCCACCTAATGCACCACACTGGATTTGTCTCCGTTGCACAGTATCATTAGCAGGATTGGGCACATTGAGCATCATGCGCGTTTATCATGCTCTAAATTTCCGTGACCAAATTCAGAGTACCTAACCAGAAGTTGCATACAGTTATAAACTATTAATTATCAACAGATATTTTCTTTTTTTTTGTGGTTAATAAAAGTATGCTATGCTTAAAGTCCCTCTTCTATAGATATTACAAGCTATTGCTTACCATGTGAACAAAGGCAGTTGTTGAAGTTTAGCAGCCTCTCCCAGAAATTTGGGGTATTTTGATTGCAACCCAGTTTGTTTTCTGCAAAGTGTTTATGTGATTTAATAATAAAGCCTATGACAATCAGCTCTTCAGGTGCAAATCAAGAAGTCATTTGGCAAGTTTGAAGCAGCGTGCACCGAGTAATTCTCTCCCTTCCTCTTTCCGTTTTTTCCTGCCTTCTGGTTGTGAATGTTGGGCACAGGAATGTAATAGAATAAAAATAGTAGGAGCAACATAAACAGGATCTTTTAAGGAGGATCTGTGTATTTGATTGTGGTTTTGGTCTCTCAGTTTCAGCAGGTTCGCTCACAGAAGCCGATAGGAGCGCATTGGTATGTATTAATGGCTTGCTCTGAGGGCCCCCTGTAGATGTGCATAGGCTTGATTAATTTGGATTATGGGATTTTGGGCTTGATTAATACTTTATCAGATTTTGATATGATTATCATTTTCTTGTTTTAAGCTGTTTGCTGAACATTTTTGGAGTATTTATTTCATTGTATGTGGAGGTATGTCTTCTGTTCATAGTAAATAATTTTCAGCCCAGACTTCATTTGTATAGTAAATGATTCTGTTGCTTGTATACAATATACTTTGTCAGATGAGTTCTTTCCAAAATTTGTAACTGCTGAATATGTTGAGACACTGACATCTTTATTATAACTCTTTTATTTTGTTGGGAAAATTGTAGTACAAGTCTCTTATTAGATGCTTCTAAATATCACAATCCTTCTCATCATAAATTGTATTCAGTGATAAACATCTTCAATATTAAACAATACACATATAGCTGAGGGCCTTCTTTGTCAAAGGCTGGTAATTAGTTGTTAGTAATTTGACACTATTTCAAATTACAGTATTATTTAATATTCAAATATACTAGATATCTTATTCGTATTTTCGAACTAATGTTTTTGTGATTCATAATGTTTTTTGTGTTGTGTTGTGAAAACTGATTTTGAATTGGTGTTATTTTTCATAGATACAAATAGGCAAGTGCCTTTAAATAGAAAGGTAATATCTTTCTTCTTACTAGCACCACATACAACATTAAATTTTCATCTGTAAAGAAGATTTATTTTTGAAAACTGTGAGAGCATTATGTGCAGATATTTTGATAAATCTAAGTCAGAAGGCATGATGTATAAACTAGACTAAATACTGTACAGTACTATGTTAGTAAAAGAAATGAAATGAGTGAAAAGTAATTCAAGCCCAAAATCCATTTCATGACAAGTACACCCTTTTAACACTTTATGGAAACAAGTAGGTTTATCATTTCCCGGGACACCGCATGTGTTGTGTACAGTACACTCGTATCATGTACACTAGTTTGGTAGATGTCGTTTTTTGGTATAAAGTCCAGATGTATATGATGTTACAGTCTTGTCTTAGAGCATGTACTGTATTTGCCTATATAGTTCAACATAAAATTACTTCTCATTAAAAGCTTATATACACAATTATGTTACTTTTATAATGACTTTATACCATAATACATGTATGTAATACCTTTTCATACCTGGTAGTAAAGAGAATGCCATATAAAGTTTATGTAAGTGAATGCCATCACATACAGCTTGTAGTAGTACCTGTACTTACAGTTGTATATACTGCTATGTAATTCTCTTGTCTTCTTTCCTGTCACTTCAGTCAAATGAAATATTTTTGTCTCTACTAATGTGCATCTTTATTTCCTCTGCTGACTATTGCTAAAAATAATTAGTAAAGAACAGCATGAAATCTGGATAAAAGACTCATTTTCATCCATACCCTCACATCTGTTATGAAGACAATCTGTCATGCTTTCAATAATAAACTTTTTGTCATAAGATAATGACAATTGGTAATACAGTATTATCTTATAGCTGCAGTTGAACTTTGCAAACATACTCTTGAATAGAATATGGCAACATGTTTTTCATACATTCATTTTACATTTTCTATGATCCTGCATGTATATAGCATCCTTTGGTCAGTGGAAGAACATTATAGATCACTATTGGCTTAATGGATCATGAAATCTGTTTATAACCTGACAATGGACTTTGGAGACTTGTATTGTACCCATTAAGTCTGTGAGTTAACAGGCTTAGCTAACTGCCATATTGATGGCTGACACTTACCAAACATTGATTTTTCCTCTTCACAACTGTTGCTTTTTAAAAGAAGGTGATTTAAAAACAAAGGTCACTATTCAAAAGGAAGCCCTCCTTAGTCATTAGACTTGTTGGATTACCAGTGATGACCCTCATTCCAGATTGTTTCTCCAGTCAATGACAGACATTGACCTGACAGCTCTGCTTGTGTATCTAATAAAGTTGAGTGCACTATTCTATCTAATGAATATTAGGTCTTTAGGGAGTGTAATGGGTGATTCACAGTTCTTGCAGTACTTACTGTATTATGACTTTGTTCACTTAATGTTGAAAGAGTTGTACCGGTGTTGACCATTATTTGATAGATCTACTACTGTATATATGATTGATCAGTTTTACGTTGTTAAAAAATTACTGCTCTGCGATGGCCAAGATCAATTTTATGATGGTAACTACCCAAATGCTTTTCCTGCATTGTCACGGCTGTGAAAGAGTGTTGTGCAACAACTCGCAATATTCCGAGATATTAGGATGCACATTTGGAATGGCATAACACGTGCGACCCACACGGGATGCATGAAAGGATCTGCCCATCCCTGATGACTGCCAGTTTGAGTAGTTGAACGGAGTCATGTTGCTGAGAGGATGGTTTGTATGTGGAAGAAGCTATTCTTGTACATAAAATATATTGTGAGGAATAAATAAAAATAATAATATTAAATAAATTACAGGTATCCCTCAATATACGAACATTCGAGATACAAACATTTTCTGATACAAATTTCCTAAATTACCACCTCATTTTCGTGTTATGTAAGCTTCCCTGCCTATACGAATTTGGGTCCCGGCAAAATTTCAAATTGTGTGCCCCCGGTAGTTAGTTGGGATGGCCTACTAGGCTGAGGTAGGAGTTACGTTATGTTTTGTCTTTTATTCAATCCAGAATGCGACGTCTAGCTTTATACTTAGGTATGTAAATGCCTAGCATTAACTCGCCAGGCCAACAAACCGGCAATTAAAAAATCTAATAATTACTTAAATATGTAATATTAGGAGGACACGTCGCTACCTGGCATTTAATTGCAATTCTCAAAACCCCCTCCCGCACCCTCCATCACAAGCATTGCTACCGCCATCTTCTTGCCTGGCAAATCGGCTGTAAATACGCACAAATTAGGCTCCGTTAATTTGTGTTGTAATAGCTGAAATACTACTCGCCCTCAAGGGAAATAACTGATTTCCCTTTATAAGTTACTTTTGACTACAGGTATTTACAGGATAGTTCTTTGATAACTATAGGACAAGAATATCCAGTTTGTTGTTGGATGGTAAGCATTAGAGAATACCATTTGTTGATTTTAGTTGGGAAATGGACTGGATTTTTCATTACAGTGTAATGATCTGCAAATAATACTTGCTACTCACTGGTTATGTGCTTCACTGATTCTCAGTGAACTACAGTATAGGAAAACCCTTAAGGGGGTTCATTTTTCAATTTAATGAGTTGTAAAACTTAATGAGAACAATAATTTTTTTTATGGAGTTTAGTTGGACTAAAGCTGAGGCTTGTACTGGCATTATAATTTAGTTGGTGATGAATGAGAGAAGGCTGAGCTATGCAGGCTACTGTGACACTTAAGATTAGTTCAGTTTCCAACCATATAATTGGTGACCTTTGCTTCTAAATTTTTTTTTTTTTTTTTTTTTTCTTTTTTTTTTTTAAACACTGGTTTTAAAGGAGACATACCAGTATCACTAATAATTTCATGAGTGGCATTCATCAATGTTTGGTTTAGTCAGTGTACAGTTCTTGAGGCTCCTTGCCCATACTCATTTATAAATGGGATTTCTAGGATCACTCCATAATTTATACCTAAATTATCAAATGACAAACTAAAACTACAGATACTGTACTTGAGTATTTTTCTAATTATTTCTTGAAAGATTTCCACATCTTTGGAAATAAGTTTCCATGAACATAAAGAGTAAATATCAGCAGGATACTTACATGTGGTCGAAAGTTATCTGTAATGGTAGAAATAACCACAGTCTGTGAATTGAAATTTTTTCCACTGTTACCAGTCTGCTTCTTTAAGGATTGACTGCACAGTTAAGTCGCTCATGATGGTAATATAGATACTAATGTGAGTTGGAGTTTTATGTATTACATTTTGACCTGGTAATGCTATATATTTTGGAAGAAAACTGGATTACTACAGTACAGTATATGTGAATGGGTATTAAGTGCCAGAACATGCAAAATTGTTTTATGAACAGATTTGATTGTCAGGATTATTGTGAGGTATCATTAATGTTAATAAATATAAACACTTGCCAGATGTCTGGAGGCTATGTATGTATGTATGACTAAGTACTGGACAGAATTCACAAAAAGTATTTATAGAAATAGTATACCATGGACAAAATAATGTGACTACAGACTTCACAAATAGAGAGAAACTAATTTCTCATATTTACACTCTGTGACACTAAGTAGTCTCTGGGTAAGATTGTCAGAAAAAGTTTTATTGATGTCCGGAATTTGCTGAGTGAGTCTTCTAGTGATGCAGTGCCCAGATAGGTCAGGTCATTTTTCAAACTAATAAATGAAATACTTGAAGTAAGAGTCAAGAGATAATAGAAAATAAATGTTAGTTAATGTTGGTGAATGATGTATGTTGGAAGATATAATTTCAGAAGGTAAAATGTTAAGAAATACTGTACTGTAGACTAAGAAAGAGATTGATGTGTGGATGGATGTAAGGAGTCATTAAAAAAGATGTATGTTCTGTATATTGATGAAGAATATTTTTTTTAAATCACATATAAAGTGTCTCCCACTGACCTGTATCACCTGTTGACATGTGGTCTATGACTTTGATTTTTGTCTGACACAAATTTACAAATGCTTCCATGCTTACCTCATAATTTACACATGAATTTGTATTTAAGTACTGAACTCGTGTACCTGTTCAGAGTTTATATATTATGACTGAATTTTGTGTTGGGATGACTGAAAGTAGACTTTGTAAATAAGAATGTGTATAACATCTGATCCTCATTAAGTGTTTAGGATGAGTGTGTGAATTGAGTTGTATTCAACACAGAAATTAAGACCAGAATCAGACAAATTCTTTTGACCATTGCATGCAGCAGTGAAGTAGATAATAAAGATAAAACCAATTTGTGTGTAGTGTACGTACAGGTATTACACAAATTAAGGCTTGCCATCA